TGAGGAGGAGGAGGAGGAGGAGGAGGAGGAGGAGGAGGAGGAGGAGGAGGAGGAAAGCAACTATGGGGTTGTTACTGTCTCTGAGATTGGTTTTTTTGTAGACATTTCATAACCCAACTAGATAACATTATCAGTGCTAGATTAGCACTGATGATATTACCTAGTTGGGTCATGAAATGTTTAGAGATCACCAGTGACCCCATAACATCCTCCTCTGCTCTGCAAATGCCACTCCCTTCTAGCACTGAAGATGTTCCCCGGTTGGGTCACGAAATGTCTGCAAAGAAAACAGCCAAGCTCAGAGAACATCAGGGACCCCATAATCCTCCTCCTCTCTGCAAACCCTGCTCTCTTTTAGCATTGAAGATATCCCCTAGTTGGGTCGTGAAACATCTGCAAGGAAACCACCAAAGCTCAGAGATCACCAAGGACCCCATAATCTTCCTCCTTTCCACAAAGGTCATTCCCTTCCCTTCCCTGATGATGTTACCAAGTTTGGCAATTGCAACATCTGCAAGAAGACAAGCCAGACTCAGAAAGCACCAAGAACCTCCCAGTTCAACCCAGAGCTACAAATATTCTCTCTTAACCCGGTGATCTGGAGGGAGAGGGGGGAGAACAAACAAACAAATGAAAGTTTAAAGCAGAAAACAACCTCAAGAGAAACTAATTCCCAAACCAAAGGTCTTCTGACTAGGAGATCAACAAGCATGATTTAAACCACCCGTAATTATTTCTAGCTGCCAGACACCGGAGCCCCACTGGTCTTTTCAAAGAGGCTCATCAGCTCAATTACCAGAAAACCTGAGGGAACTAAAGTTTTTTTTAAAAAAAAAAAAACACGCACCTTTCCTCCTTGATCAGAGGTTTGGGGGGAAGAAGATCCCTCAAAGCACCAAAGAGATCCTGAACACAAGCAAAAGACACGTGTTGGGACGCCCTGCAGCCCACGGTAAACCAGGATGCAAACTGGGATTCGCAGCCCCTCCAATGAAACCCCCGTTATAACCACAACAACCCCTAGGACGATGCAGCACTGCAGACCTCCCAGCCAGCCTCCCTTCGCCCTCCCTGTTCGCACAACGACAATATCACATTGCCAACATCACACTGCCAGCGAGTTGCAGCTTTCCCCCCCCCCCCTCTCCATCCTGATGCCAGGATCCCAACGTTGCTGCGGGAGCCAAGACGCCCCTGAATCGGCCCTAGAGGAACGAATGAATGAATGAATGGATGAATGAATGAATGGAGGGTGCAAATAAGGGGACCTCCAACTCCCCACCATCCATACAGGGAGGACCCTCAGATTCTGAATTAAGACTCTCCATCACTAAGGACCCCCTCTGCAAAACAAAACACCCCCCCCTCCAGATATCCAAATATTCCTGGTAGCATTAGCACCAGATCCTGGCCCCATAGGAATCTTAATGCTACTACCAATGTTTAGATATAGGGTGGGAGGGTGTCTTGGATTGGGGGGGGGTCCTTTGGGGAGAATCCAGAATCCGAAGGTCCTCCCTATTTGGGGGAAGGGGTGTCCCCCTGCCTGCTCCCCCATTTAGATATGGGGGGGTTCTTGGCTTGGGGGAGCCCTTGGTGGAGAACCTGAATCCAGAATCCAAGACTCTTCCCTATCTGGGGGGGGGGGGGTCCCCCTGCTCGGTCCCCCATTAGTATAGATATGGGGAGGGGGTCTTGGTTGGGGAGTCCTGGGTGGGGGAGAATCTTAACCCAGAATTTGAGTGTCTTCCCTGGTGGGGGGGGTCCCCCTGCCTGCTCCCCCATTAGTTTAGATATATGGGGGGGGGGGTGTCCCTTGGTGAGGGAGAATCTAAAGCCAGAATCT